ATAGCTGAGGAGAGTGCCCTGTCCTGCGCTCGCTACGTGCGGGCGCTGCACAACTTGGACTCCTCTCAGGGAGCAGGTCCTGCTGGCACTTCCGCCTTGCAGACCGCTCCAAAGAGGAAGGCGGCCCGTGAAAGGTCAAGGAGTCCAAGGCGCGAGAGGGACAGGAGCCCAAGTGATCACAGACCTCCTCTTAGGCGCAGTGTGCAGCCTCGAGAGCGAGAAGCCCCAGAAGGAGTTCATCACAACAAAAGGCCAGACTCCGACTACGAGTACACAGAGGAGAGCGAAGAGGAGGAAGAGCTCGAGAGAGAGGAGGTTGTTAAGGAAGAAGAGGATCACAGGAGGGATAGACGCAGGGGCGAGAAGCCTCCAGAGCCTAATCATCCACCACCTCATCCGAAAAAGAAGAAGAAGAAAGGTAAAGGTGCGAAGCGACGTCGAGGCGGGACTCGTCACCAGAAGCACTATCGTGAAAGGGAAGACCCTTTCCGGAGGAGCCACAGACGTCTTGATCAGGAACGGTTGGAGCTTGCAGACAACCTGCAAGCGGGGTTGGAGCGCCGTGCATAGGTGGACGTTGCCGTCTTTGAGACGTCGCAATGGCCACTGTGCTGGAGCACCCGTCCCTTGTCCTGAATTCAGACGACGAAGATGGGCGTCATCCGACAGTAGATGACATCCAAGAGGCCCTGGAGAAACAACCAAAACCCAACAGGGTCACGGATTACAATGTAGAGGAGGCTGCTTTTTGGAGGACCCGACATCTACCTGCAGGATCGGTCATCGAGTTTCAGGATCCAGAGACACCGGAAGAAGAGCTTCCACCGCTGGTCGCCCTCCTAGTGCTGGGAACGGTTTCCCGCGACACAGGAATTTGGGTGGAAGTGAAGGTGCTTGGATCCGAATCCGCGGCCGAGAAGAAGAAGGCGGAGAAGTATTTCAAGGATGGTCGTCACCGCGTACATATTTGTTACCCCAGTGCAGAGGGGGGTTGCCCTTTGGACGAAGAAGCTGGTCTTCACTTGCGCAAATTCAGATGGTATCCACCTGGAGAGCTAGAAGCAGAGTGGCTGAATGCGACTGCAAGGAAGGCCATTGCAAAGGGAAAGGAGATGGAACTGGAAGAGTTGAAAAAGAAGCGCAAAGATCCGCGCTCTCCTACGGGAGGAGCTGGACGTGGCGCGCCTTTGGGCGAAACTCCAGTGGAAAAGAGGTTGAGCGCGCTGAGAGCCCGAAGGGTTTCCTTTGCAGAGCCAGTGGTGTCGCCAGGCACGGCACGGGCAGACTCCCCACGGGAGCCCCGGGCTGGTGCTGGTGGCAGACCGGCCGCCTCAGCCTCACAGGCACTGGTCCCCTTAAAGAAGGTGAAGGAGGAGGTACAGACAATAGACTCAGAGACAGATCAGGAGGAGGTAAAGAAAACGAAGAAGAAGAAGAAGAAGACCCTGGGCGACACGTTGGCCAAGGCCGCACGTCTCAGGAATGCGGTGGAGGAGAGATCCGAGAAGAAGAAGAAGAGAAGATCCCGAAGTCGATCCCGCAGCAGGAGACGGCGGCACAAAAAGAAGGAGAACTCCACGGACTCAGACAGCGAGAGGTCGAGCAGGGGTCGAAGTTCCTCAGGGGACGAGAGCCTGATGGCGCCCCTCCGGAAAAGGTCGCAACGATCGCCGGGCTCCGTCTACAAGATGTTGGAGGAGCTGGCCGTCGAGCGGCTGTCGGTGGATGGGGTTGTCGAAGAAGGCTACGAAGCCTTGGGATTACGCGGTCAGAGGCCGAAAATCCTGACCTACTTCCAGTTGGTATTGAAGCCTCAGATGGACAGCAAGGGCCGCGACTGCAAGGAGCTGGCGATGTTAGCCAGATCCCTAGATCTGCTGAGAGATGGGCGGCTGGCGGAACTAGCCGATGTGATGGCCGCCCGTCTCATGGCGATCCATACAGCGACAAAGCAGGGATGGCAGACAGCCAGGCATCTGGAAGTGTTTGCAGAGGAGGACGACTCCGCCGCGCCCCCACACGTGTTGCTGTCGGCCCAGCGCCACGCGCGACAGGTGGAAAAGGCTGGCGGAAAGGGAAGTTGGCCTTCCAGATCGCCTTGGCAAGGAGGAGAATGGGCCTACGACAACAGGCCGAGAGGAAAGGGAAAGGAGCAAAAGGGCAAAGGAAAGAAAGGAAAAGGAAAAGGAAAGGGCCAGAAGGGCCAGTGGAGTGCCTGGGTAGATCAAGGAGAAAGAGGAGGAGGAGACAAGAGCAAGAAGGCGGAAGCAGAGGGTTGAGTGTCGGTCTTGAACTGGCAACGTCGGCGCTGGATTTGTCAGCGTCCTCGCCCTTGATTCAAGCTATGATGGCTGGGGTTGGACTGCCGTGCAACGAGGCACCCAATTTGGAGCTGCTGGCAACTGTCCACCCGGACCATACGAATTCAAGCAGGAATTCAGCATGTGACGGTGCTCAACCTGCGCCGCATCTTTTTGGAAGCAGAGACCCTGGCAGCAAATCCGAGTGGTTGGCGGGCCTTACAGGCGTGAGCAACCTGTTGGAACTGGGAGTAAAGCTGGCATGGGGGTTGAGGGAAGAGCTGCTTTATTTCAAGCCTGCTCGTGCTAGGCCCACACAAGCGGCCACGGGCCACCGTGGCTGCTTGTTCCCCCTGCCGGTTCAACTTCCAGGCAACTTGAAATGGAGTGTCGCTGATTTGAAGTCCTGCGACTTCCATGCTCTGGCCCTCGACTGCTGGGTGGCTGTCGGCTGCGCTGCCATCAACGCGCTGTATGACAGCCCCAACGCGGGCTTCGCACGGGCGCCAGGAAAAGTGCATAAAGCAATTCTGGTGGAGCTTAAGGATAAGGTAAGGCGGTTTTTTGAAGGTGACCCATGCACTCTGGTTTCCTTTGAAGAAGTTGTAAGGGATTTAAAAGATAAGAAAGTTTCTTATTCGGGGGAAGAAGTTCTTGCCCCCTATCCTCTCACAGCGGAGCAAATTCTGAAAGGCCTGCCACCAGCAGGTCATGGGGGGTCTGTCCCTATTTTGCCCTTTCTGAAAGGGAGGACCCGTTTTTTGATGGAACACCCTGAGGAGTCCCTCCTTGATGCCCGGGACAGGGGTCATGCGCCATGTTCAGCAAAGGTTCATATTGCAAAGGGAAGTGAGCTTGAAGTTTTTAACCTTTTAGCAAGCAGGGGCATTATTTCTTGGTTCCCCGACGAAAAAGTTTTTTCAGATGATCGGGGTCAGTATCTGTCAGGCATGTTCGGCGTCATTAAACCTGGAAAATTTACAGAGTCCAATTTGCCAGTTTTGAGAGTAATCATGAACCTTATCCCCGTCAACGGAATCTTTTCGGTGTTGCGGGGTGACATTCAAAGTCTCCCAAGCGCAACCGGCTGGCTCCCCCTCTGCCTTAGCGAGGGGGAAGAAATAACTATGTCACAAGGAGATATGTCCGCAGCGTTCTATCTATTCTCTATCCCGGAAAGCTGGTCCCCTTATTTCTGTTTTAATTTTAAGGTTAAAGGGGACCTGCTGGGCTTTTCGGGGAGTGACAGAGACAAGTTTTTCAGGCCTTCATGCGTGGTATTGCCAATGGGATGGTCATCTTCAGTTGGAATAATGCAAGCTATTTCACGGGAGATACTTCTTTCTAAGGGCTTACCCCCGCTGCTAGAGCTAAAGAAAGACGGGGCTGTGCCACCGTGGTTTGCTCAGGTAACTTCAGCAAGTACAGAGGCACGGTCCTGGTGGCAAATCTACCTGGACAATTTTATGTCTGCTGACGTTGGTGGACCACCTCATGGCTTTGGTGATGTTGAGCTACAGGAGCGTGCCATGAAGGCATGGAGCATGACGGGGGTTTTAACTGCTGAAGATAAACAGGTTTTGGGTAGTGATAGTATCACGGAACTTGGAGTCCGAGTTGATGGCAAAAATGGATTATTGGGGGGATCCCCGGATCGTTTCATGCGGACGGCATTGGCTACAATACACCATCTGCTGAACCCAGTGTGGAGTAAGAAGGAGGCACAAATCATTTTGGGCAGGTGGGTTTTCTTGTTGCAATTTCGGAGAGCAGCTATGGGAGCACTATCAAGGTCCTGGGAAGTTCTAGAAAAGGCCTGGCCAAACCCGAGAGAAAAGGACATTTTACATGGCGAATTGATGATGCTTCTATGTCTTTCCCCCTTGATTCAGATGGATTTGACAGCAACTTATGACTCAGAGGTAACCTGTTCAGACGCATCTGAAACGGGTGGAGCAGCAGCGGTCAGCAAAGGGTTGACGTGGTCTGGCCGCTCCTTAGTGAGCATGAAAAATGACCTTCGCCTACTTCCTATTAAATGCCCTATTTTGGTTGTTTCTCTTTTTAATGGGATAGGCGGCTCGTTTAGGGCTTATGATATTTTGGGCTTGGTGCCAGAAGGGCGCATTTCAGTGGAAATCTGCAAGCATGCGAACAGGGTTACGCGCACTGCCTGGCCTGGTACAATGGAACTTTTGGATATCGAAAAGATTGATCACGCTGAGGTACAACGATGGGCTTCACTGTGGCCACATGTGGAGGAACTTCATCTTTTCGCTGGTTTTCCATGCGTGCATTTGTCTTCGGCACGCGCCTTTCGAAAAAAATTGGAGGGCGAAGGCTCAAAGTTGTTTTGGAAGCTTTTAGAGGTGCTACAGTGGGTCCAGCAAGTTTTTAGCCCGTTTTGTAAGGTAAAGTTCTGCATTGAAAATGTGGCGTCGATGGATGAGTCAGCTAGAGATGAAATCTCCTCCCAGCTGGGGATTTGCCCTGTCAAACTGGATCCTAGTGATAGTTTGCCTTACAATAGACCACGTTTTGCCTGGGTGTCGGAGCCTATTTTTGAGATGGAGGGCTTACAGCTGTGGTCGGAAAAGAATTATTTCAGAGCCTACACCACCAGCAGGGAGATTGACACCAAGCAATGGATTCGCCCAGGGTGGACCTGGGAAGGTGGCCCAAATGTTAAATTTCCAACTTTCATGAAATGTATCAAAAGGTCTGCACCACCTCCCAAGCCAGCAGGCTTGACCAGGACAGACGAAGCAACTCAGTCGCGATGGCGCTCAGATGAATACAGGTACCCCCCATATCAATACAAATCTGCTTTTCTACTTCATCATGCATCTCTCCCCCCAAGAGTCTTGGATAGTTCTGAACGGGAGTTACTTATGGGGTTTGGTCCTGGTCATACACTTTCATGCATGAGCGCCTCAGAGGCAAAGAAAAGCAAGCGGTTTTTGGAAGATGTGCGTTGTTCCTTGGTAGGTGATTCTTTTTCAGTGTTTTCGTTTGCAATTGTTGCCAGCTCAATGGCGCAAGCGTATGTTCCTCGGATGACCCCTGACAAAATAGCTGGAAGACTAGGACTAGCCTCTGGGGCAACAGTTCACCCGTCGGTGGAAGTTCCGCTGACGCGGTGGTTGTGTTACGGTGGCGACGTGGACAAGCCAGTTCAGGACGTTGAGATCGTCCAGCACCTGGGACTTACAGTCAATCATACAGGGTCCGATGTAAGGATAATCTCGGGGGCTTTACTGAATCAAAAGTCGCAAGCTCATGCATCTGTTAAAGCAATGTGGTGGCAATGGAAACAACTTTTTACGGTTAAATGGTCCCAAACATCACACATCAATTACCTGGAGATGAAGATGGTTCTTAACACTCTTCTTTGGAAATCCAGATCTATTACTTCTATCAGGAAAAGATGGCTCCATCTTGAGGACAGCATGGTATGTTTATATATATTAACTAAAGGTCGCACTAGCAGCCACCTCCTGCAGCCGTTAGCGAACCGGATTGGGGCAATTCAATTAGCAATGGGATCCTTTTTACTCCATGCACACGTGGGGTCAGCAGAGAACCCCACTGACAAGGGAAGCAGACTTTGATGCCGCGCACCATTCCGAGGGTTGTGCTGGCAGCAAGAACTAGAGCTGGTAGAAAGCAGCAAAGAGCTGGGGTACGTCTACGAGACTTTACAGTCACAGCAAAGACAAAGTCAAGATATGAAGTTGCAGTGGGGAGAATCCTCCCATTTTTGGAATCACATGATTCTTTACATGATTTGGATGGAGTAGTTTGCGATTGGATCGAGCTCGAATGGAGCAAAGGCGAAGCTGTCAATTCAATCGCCGACTGTCTGAGTGGTTTGCATTTTTTCTGGCCAGAGATCAAAGGAATCCTCCGCCAAGCTTGGAAGATGTTTCGAGCGTGGCGACGTATAGAGTCACCGCAAAGAGCACCACCTATGACTCTACTTCTGGCTAAAGCTGTTATCGCCAGGGCCGTTGAACTGAAGGATATTGCTTTTGCCGCACTTTTTTCAATTGGTTTTCACTGTATGTTACGTACAGGGGAGCTTATGGAAATTCAATACAAAGATCTTGAACTTTCTTCTTCTGTAGGTATTATTACTTTGATGAGCAGTAAGTCTGGCTTGAGAACGGGCACAGAGGAAGCGGTTTCAATTCGTGACAGTTTTGTTCTCAATATTTTGAACACTTTGGTGTGTTTGCAATGTCAATTCAGAGGTCAAAAACTTTGGCCTTATTCAGCTCAGCATTTTCGAAATCAATTTGAAAATTACATGCGATATTTCAGGATTCAACATTTGAAAATGAAACCTTACAGCTTGCGTCGCGGAGGCGCGACGTTCCTTTTGCAAGAAGGAACGCCAATCGATGTCATTCTCCTGCGAGGGCGTTGGCGCTCGCTGGGAGTGGCAAGATTGTATCTTGAAGATGGATTGGCACAGGTCCCCCAATTGAGAGTGCCTGACAATGACAAATTACGCCTTCAAAAATATGCTGAACAATGTCCAGCTACGGCCTTTAGGCCATGACTGGAGGCGTGGAAAGGGGGATCATTTTCCAATTCTTGCTGATCAATTTCCATTTCCTTCTTTAACTTTTTCTGTGAAATACATGTGAAAGCCGTCCTAAAGAGACCTCATGCCACTTGGGGTCCTAAGGCGGTCTTTAGCTGTTGATTTTCTCATGCCATTTGAGAAATCGCAGCTGTCCATAACAATAGACCATGCCATTTGGTCTTTGAGAATTTGAAAATGTCAATGAAGTGCTGGCTAAGCCAGTTTGGATTTGAAACCCATCGGGTCTAGCACAACGGAAAAGAAGTGCTTGAGTCCTTGAAAGTCGTCACGACATTTAGGACGAGACACTTTTTCGTCATGTTGGGCTGTCCAGGCTCTTAGCTTTCCCAACCTCTCCCCCCCGGAAAGGGGGATCATTTTCCAATTCTTGCTGATCAATTTCCATTTCCTTCTTTAACTTTTTCTGTGAAATACATGTGAAAGCCGTCCTAAAGAGACCTCATGCCACTTGGGGTCCTAAGGCGGTCTTTAGCTGTTGATTTTCTCATGCCATTTGAGAAATCGCAGCTGTCCATAACAATAGACCATGCCATTTGGTCTTTGAGAATTTGAAAATGTCAATGAAGTGCTGGCTAAGCCAGTTTGGATTTGAAACCCATCGGGTCTAGCACAACGGAAAAGAAGTGCTTGAGTCCTATATATATATATATGTTGCCAAGATTTGCTTCTGCGACTGGCTTCTACGAGATGTTGAGGAAATGCGAAGCAAATTTCCAAGATGGCTTCGACACGTCGACACGTCTCAAAACCATGGATCCAGTTGTATCTTCTCGGACGTAAAAATGGTTACCTTTTCAGGATGTTTCTGGCATCCAGATGGGCAGATGAAAATCCATGGAAGGCCAAGTACATCCCCCTGGTGACGAACATGTGAAAAATACATATGTTACCATGTGGTCCGTAACTCCAAAAAAAAACTGCGTTGCAAAATGCTTGGCAACAGAGGCTTGTTTTTTTGGCATTTCAATACACATGATGTGTTACACATGAGAAAAACCATGTTTCTTGTCAGGAGTTCCGCGAAAGCTCGCGAAAGTAAATTGCAGACACACGGATGCCGCGAAAGAAACAACTACCACGAAAATTTCGCGAAAGGGATGGCCTCACCCAAAGACATCTTTCACTGACTCGGCTGGCTGTGCCCAGTGGCGATTCAAATTTCGTTAGCTGCGACTTTTCTGTTTGGACTTTTCGAGAACATTTTTCATGAACATCTGCAGAGCAAGGTACAAGGTTTTGGATCACAGAAGCTAGACCCAGTGGTTTGAAGTTTCAAGGGTTTCCAGAATTCCCACTTATTCCATCTGGGCAAATTTTCATGAATCTTGGAATATCCTTGAAACTATTCATAGCCACTTATACTTCCGGAATCAATGATTTCGATTTGCCAATCAACATATGGATAATGGGTATATGGTCAACATATATATATAACATATACATATACCATATATATATATATATATACAACACCATATATATATACATACATATCCTCCTAATGACTCAATGACGGCAGCTGGAGGACCTTTTGATTGTGGGCGCTGGATATTTGGGTCGCCGGGTTGCGCAGCTCTGGCGAGAGAAGCCCAAGGGGCCCAAGGCGAAGGCAGACATTGGACCACTGGTTGACCACCAGTCTTTTCGATATGGGAGTTCTGGAGGGTTTATTTAATGGAAAATCCTATGAATCCATGGATGATTTAGAGGTACCCTCCATCTTAGGAAATACTAATATCTATGATATATCTATGATATGTGGATGAAAGGCCCATCGGAGGGATCCCAGAGCAACTTGCTGGTGCTTTTCAAGTATATATATATAGATTTGCATTTGTATGATACACGCGTATGATTCGAAGGTATTACAAGAATGATCATTGTCGTTAAATGGTATCACCTTGTAGGAAATGATCAATTGAAGTAATTCTGATCTTCCCGAGCCAGAAATCGCAGGTGGTAGCCGCCACCCTGACTGAGAAGTCCCATGAAGCGCTGCGCCAAGAAGGACTTGATCCCATCTTGGCATCAGACTTGTCACTTGGAAGACATTTCAATACATTTCACAGATATGCTATGGTCACAGGTATATATGTATGGTATATATATATATGGTATATATATATTATATGGTATATATATGGTATATATATATATTATATGGTATATGTATATGGTATATATATATATGGTATATGTATATGTTATATATATATATATATATATGTTGACCATATACCCATTATCCATGGTCAAATTATATAAAACTGGATTTTATACCCATGTTGGGAGATGGGAAGAATCAATGAATTTGCACACACAGTCAGCTATACCATCGGATGACCATAAACCATACACACTCCATACACAATGTTTTGACCGCGGCATTGCTGGTGGTAGCAAGGTTGTGAGGGGAGTCTTGACAAATCCATGTGGTGTACCAGAGATTCGACTGCTGAAGGCTTGCATTATTTTGTGGGATGTTGGCCACACAGAGTAAGCAGATGAACCAATGTAACGGTTTTGGAGCCACGGCCAAGGAAGGCTTCAAAGCTGAAGTTTTCGCAGGTGGGGAGGGCTCGGATCACACCTGGTCCCCCAGCGGAGTGCAGCCAAAACGGCTGGTGCCTGGATCCTGTGTGCTTTCCATGCTTTCCCCTTGTCTATGCAAGTGTGTGATTCTGCTATGTCCGTAGAATCGACATTGGAACATAAGTATCATTGGATTGGTTTAAGGGAAAATCTACAGGAAACCATGGTTTTTACCATTAAATATGGGGCTTTCCTGTAAATTTTCCCACAAACCAATCCAATGAAAGTATGGTTGCTGGATGTTGCTGGTAGTTAGTGATTCAACGTGTCGGACTCCGCGTTTTCCGCCAACTCGTTTCAGGTGGTGTTTTGTGCGCCTCCCAGTAGGCCTGCGCCGCTGTGAGATCTCGGAAAACAGCGAACGGGAGGAACCCGAAAAAAGGGCTTCGGGATGTTTCGGGAACGTTACAAATGGGAGGATATTCATCAACTTTCATAAATTCAGAATGCTTCAGAATGTTACATGATTCATTTCTTTTGTTCGGACCTGTCATTAAAAAAATGATCAAGGAAGAATTCCCGGCTGCGGACTCTGCAAGATGTGGCTCATGTTGTGGGGACCCGTAGCCGCGTGCACGGTATCCAGGGATGATCTCGGCAAGTGGAAACTCGATGTTTTTTTACATGTAAAAAAACAATGTGGATACCAATGTAGCTATCCTTTGCCCTCCAAATCGGCTGCATTTTTAAACGTCCTTCGGCTGACGCGACGCAGGGGTGAGGCCGGTGACTATGCGAAGTCAGTCACAGACGCCCTGGAGCATCTGGTTGAGGGGGGGATTGGCGTGTTCACCTCCTCCGCTAGCGTCTTCGCGGAGGCACTGAACACGTTGGAAAACGTTGGAACAAGATGGAACTGGTGGAAGCTAGCAGCTTTTTGGGCCCCCAAAAACCATCAAAAACCACTGAATTTGATAAGAAGCACTTATCAATTGCTAATTGCTGGTGATTCTGGTGATTTTGAAGATATGTGAAGATTGGAGCTTCACCGACACAGTGAATGTATCGTGTGAGTCCAATATCTGTGGTATGTCCCACGTCTGGAAATGGGGGACACTCCTGAAAGGCCATCACCCTGATGATCAGCTAGTGGTCTTCCCAGGATTTTCAGACAAGCCGACATCCCAGAAATGGCGAAAAAAAACCATCAACAATGATGTTTAACCATCAATTTTATGTCATTCGAGATTGGAGATTGGGATAGATTGGGTAGGTTCTACCTGCATTTGTGGTACGTACTTCATACATACAACTCTTTACTTGACCTCGGTTGTCTGTATCATTCTAAATGATTCTAATATATTTGCGATGTTTATATAACTATATCACCATCAATTTCACATCATTCTAATAATATTTCAATCGGATTTTTCGTTTCCGACCACGGATTTTTCCGGAGGACTCTGGCAACTCTGTGGACGAGTCCGGCGCACTTTCCGACAGTGGCAGCGCGCAACGGATGTTGGCTGCTGAGGAGGCTGCACAGCGAGGTGGTAGCGCTGTTTTGAGGCGCACTTTCCATGGTGGGGCGTGGGTTTTTTGAATGTTTTCTCAGGGATTTTCTCAGGGATTTGCCATATGTGAAATCACCGGTAGATACTAAAGTTACTAAAGTCAGACCCTGAGAGATTTAGAGATCCATGAAATGTATTGAAGTGTTTGGATTCCGAGTATGGGACCAGATTTCCGCTTTTTTTCCATGTTTTGACCCGAACGCGCATGATCATCTTGATTAGCCTCTTGTAATCAAACAGGGATGTATGGGAAATCCTCTATAAAGGACTGTAATGGGAGCATCCTCGAACTAAATGGTAAATTATTTATAAATATTTATAAGCCGTCGTCCATTCCACGGCCTCTGGCCTAGTGGCTAAATGGATGTGGGCCAAGCAAAGCCGGTTGGCATAAAAGCGACATTGTGTTAAAGCTAGTTTGTATAAAACTGGGTTATGCAAGAGCTAGTTTGCGTAAAAGCTAGTTGTAAAAGCTAGTCGCAGCTAGTCTGTGCAAAAGCTGGTTTGTGTAAAAGCTATATAGATTGTGTAAAAGCTTGTTGGTGTAAAACAAGGTTTTGTGAAGACTAGGTGGTGTAAAAGTTGGTGTTTGTAAAAGCTAGATTGTGCAAAAGCTAGTTTGTGTACAAGGTGTAGTTGGTGTAAAAACTAGTTTTTGTAAAGCTTGTGTAAAAACAGGCGCGCATTTTTTCCGCAGCTTGTGCAAAAACCAGTGCAGCTGGTTAGTGTAGCACCTTGATCAACATGTTTTGAAATTGGTTGGTGCAAAAAGTGTTTTTTTTGCTGCCTTGTTACCGCAGTAAACACAACGAGAAAAACAGTGAATGCAGCGTAGATTCCGACGAAGAGATCCTCTGAAAATCATGTCTGGGAATTCTGCGGTTTTCGAGCGTTGACTCCATGCTGAAAGATACATTTTTGTAGTGCAGCTCAATTCATTTTGAGTCCGTGCAGATTCACGAATTACTTGCCATGAGATTTTTCAATCTCTCCACGTGCTTCCGCACACCCCAGACAAAAATCTGGCCTCAAACTGTGAGACTGGCCGGGCTCTACGATCTCGAAAGAGGTCCTCATAGCTACTGGCTGAAAGTGGGTGTGGTGATACTCGACGTTTCATTGGGAGAGAGTTGTACGTTCCATTTAGCAGATGCCAACTGCCAGCTTTATACATACGGGGCGTATGCATGGACATTCGTTGCATTGCATGGCATGGCATTGCACGGCACTGCATTATATAATAATAATAACAATAATAACATTAAGAATAACAATAATAATAATAGTAATAATAATAAATAAATAAATAACTATATATATATATATACACGTACAGACATACATACGCATACAGACATACACACACACAGAGTCAGACACACACACACATGACACACATGTCTGGATGTGTATATATATATATATATACCCATACTTATCTATATATGTACATACATAGGGTAAGGGCTTGATAACTCAGAT